AGAGCATGCGACTCGTGATCTCAGGGTTGTGAGTTTGAGCCCCACACTGGGTGTGGTGCCTACTTAAAAATAAAATAAAATAAAATCCCAGTGCCTCAGCGCCATCCCCAGAGATTCTGATGTCATTAGCCTGGAGATTTTTTAAAGCTTTCATTTTATTTTTTAATTTTTTTTAATGTTTTATTTATTTATTTGTCAGAGAGAGAGCACAAGCAGAGAGACCTGCAGGCAGAGGCAGAGGGAGAAGCAGGCTCCCCGCTGAGCAGGGAGCTCGATGCGGGGCTTGATCCCAGGACCCTGGGATCATGACCTGAGCCGAAGGCAGACGTAAAGCTTTCATTTTAAAATAATTTAAAACTTACGGGGAACTTGCAAAAGTAATACAGATACACCAACTACCCACAGATACACCGATTTTTAGCATGTTGCCACTTTGTTCTATCATTCCATTATCTTATAAACATATGAAAGTCAATTATATACATTATGTTCCTTTACCACTTCATATTTTCATGTATATTTCCTTTTGTCTATGTGTGTGTGTGTGTGTGCATGTGTGCATGTGTGCAGAAAGGTGATTTTATTAAAGCACGGGGACAGGACCAATGGGCAGAAAGAGCTGCTGCCCCATGTGTATTTCCTAAGAACAGGGAGATTCACACACATAACCACAATAAGTACAATGATGAAATTCAAGAAGTTTAACATTGATATAAGGCATATAGTCCATATTACAAGTTTTTCAATTGTCCCAATAACGTCTTTTGGGGTATTTCCCCTTCTTTATCAGATTCAGTCCAGGATCACATATTGCATCTGTCATGTTTCTTATTTTCCTTTAACGGTTTCTCTCTCAGCCTTTGTCTTTCATGATACTGACTTAAAAGAATAAAAGACTTTGTTTATTTATTTGAGAGAGAGAGAGCATGAGCAGAGGGGCAGGGAGAGGCAGAGGGAGAAGGAGAAGCAGACTTCCCACTGAGTAGGGAGCCCAATGCAGGGCTCCATCCCAAGACCCTGAGATCATGACCTGAGTCGAAGACAGAGGCTTAGCTGACTGAGCCACCCAGGGGCCCCTACATTGACATTTTTGAGGGTATAGGCCAGTTATGTTATCGAATGTTTCTTAATTTGGCTTTGTCTGCTCTTTCTTCCCTATTAAATTCAGGTTATGCCTGGTGGCCAGAATACCATATAAAAATTAGTGTGTCCTTTTCAAGGTATTGCACATGGAGGCACAAGATGTCTACCTGCCATGATTGATGATAATTTTGACCACCCAAAGTTTTGTTGGATTTTTCCACTGTATAGTTACTATTTTTCTCCTTATAATTAATAAGCAATTGACAGGGAGACACTTTAAGACAATGTAAATACCCCTTTCCTCATCAGACTTCCCCATCCTCAGATTTATTTAATAACTATTGATCCTTTTTTTTTTTTTTAAGATTTTGTTTATTTATTTGAGAGAGAGAGAGAGAGCATGCGCAGGGGAGTAGGGGGAGAGGCAGAGGGAGAGGGAGAAGCAGACTCCCGGCAGAGCAGGGAGGCCGACGCGGGGCTGAATCCCAGGACCCTGGGATCATGACCTGAGCCGAAGGCAGTCGCTCAACCGACTGAGCCACCCAGGCGCCCTGTATCTCGTTTTCATTGGGTGGCATGCACACACAGACACACGTACATTAACAGTGCTCAAGTAGACATTTGAGCAAGTTTTGACAATGGGCACAAGGATTTATTTCAGCTTAAACTTGACTGGTTTGGATCCTCTTGGGTACCCTGGAGTGGAGCTGAGTCCTGAGTGAGCGAAGGGCAGAGTCCAGGCCCGAGCTGGGTTTGGTCTGAGTCACTGAAATCTGGGGAGAGTGGAAAGAGGAGGGGAAGTGGTTGGAGAGGAGGGTCATTATCTACTCGGAGTCAGCAAAGTAAACTCATCCTGGCACCCAGCCATGGTTCAGCTGCTCCTACCTCCCAATTACCTTTTTAATTATAAGTAAGCAAAATAATTCTGAAAAGCACCCACCTCTCTATGGAGAATTTCTCATACTCTCCTCCATGGTTCTGGTCACATTCCTCTTTCCCTTCCTGCCCTCTGCAGGAAGCCATCCCAGATCTGTTCCCTCCATCCCTCCCTAGCTCGCCAGCAGCAAAGTCTGAAAATGTGCTTTGGTTTCCAAGCCTTGGTGTCTGCATCTTGAATGAGTGTTCTGTCTCACCCTTTAGGTAGATGGACCCCTTCGTGGTATTTAGCCGTCCCTTGTTTCTGGGACATAATAGATTAAAGGACTTTCTGGCTGGTGAGATGGACCAATGAGACCAACAATGGCTATAGACGGGCAACATACCTCCAACTCCAGGGGCCATGGGACTAGGGTACAGAGGGAGAGCTGAGACCAGGATGGTCAGCTTAGCTCAGGTGGGCAGGGGAGGTGAGCGCAGCCTCTCACCCGGATGAGGAGACCCAAGGGTAAGCAGTAATGACAATGGCCGACATTACTGAACTCTTACTCCTCCCGGTTGCTCTCCGCTCTTTCCTCGGATTATCTTATTTAAACCTGACAACAATCCCACAAAGTGGTCTGAATAAGCCTTGTTTTCATGAGAACACTGAGGTTCAGAGAGGCTTATTAGTTTGCTAGCACGTGCTGGGGTGCCGATCTGAACCCATGTCCGGCCCCAAAGCTCAAGCTTGTAAGCACTACACAAGACGCCCAAAGCCACCCGACAGCCCCACCTGAGCCTGCAGACTTCCATCTGATCCACCATCCAGGCCAGCAGCTCTCGAATCAGTAAATCCTTGAGCAAATCTTCATCACTGGGCTTCTTGGGTAGGGAGCTGCCAAGGAGAAAGCCTCAGGCAGGCTGTTTGAGCCTGGGCCCCACCCGGAGTGAGTAAATACAGGGCCTGGGACTCCACAGGGCAGCTGGGTTGGGGGGAGGGAGTCAACACAGCTGCCTCTCCTTATCTCAGCTTTCAGACCTCCACCCTGATCTGTGGGCCGCAACGCCGAACAGAATTCAGGTGGGAGACACCCCCACCCGTCCACCTCTGTGAGCATCCCCGAATGCATTCCCCAAACCCAGGAGATTACTTTGGGGACATTCACTCTTTAGAATGGTCCACAGATTCCTCAGCTTCCTCAGATAGGGGGTAACTGATGTCAAGGGACTGGCCTTCAAAGGGTCCCTGTTCCTCAAACAGCCTTCCAGAGGTCTGTCGGGGAGAAGTGGGGAAGCCAGTTCCCGAGGTCTCCCTGACGTCTCTTTCGCTGCCCCTCTCCTTGACTCTGATTCTGCACACTAAAGTCATCAATCTTAGGGAGTCTGGTCCCAAACCCCTCCTAGGACCCCAGCCCCTATTCCTCCTCCTCGGCTTCTCCCTTCAGCCTGGGCTGGCCTCCAGGAGTTTCCTGAAGACCCCTCTCTGAACTGGGAGTGGAGGGGGATGCTTATCTGGGGCCTTGCTCTGCTCTGGGGTCTGGGAGAGGGAACAATGAGGCCCTGCCCCCACCCCTTCCCTTGTGGGCTGACTCACCCCTGCTGCTCCCTCGCCTCCTCCTTCCTGTGAGATTGATGGGCCAGCTCCAGGGCCCCGGCGGCCTCCCTCTGGGTGATGTTGTGTTTCCAGCTGGTAAGGTAAAGACGCAGGAGTGGGTGGGGCTGGGGAGGCTCCAGATGTTCTCCAGTCCAAAGGCTCCGATCTTTCGGGACCTTAACCCAAGTTGCAGAGCAAACCTCTTTCTCCATTCAAACGTCCCACTGCTTGTCCTCAGCGGCCACTGTCCGGCTTTTCAGCATCTACCACCATGCCGACCGAGCAGCCAGCACGAGGTAAGAGACTTGGCCGAGAGAAGGAAGGAGGACCAAGTCCTCCATTGCCAGCAGCATCTCAGCTCCCTCTGCCTTCGCCCCCAGCCCTGTGGGGCTCCTCTGGGAGCCCCTACCTCTTCCCTGGTCCCTCTCCTTAGAAGAAAAGGAGTGGAGGGCGCCTGGGTGGCTCAGTCGGTTGGGCGGCTGCCTTCGGCTCAGGTCATGATCCTGGAGTCCGTGGATCGAGTCCCGCATCGGGCTCCCTGCTCGGCGGGGAGTCTGCTTCTCCCTCTGACCCTC